CCTTGGCAGGGACTGGTGGTGGTGGTGGTGTGCCGAGATGCTCAGAGTGCCTGAGCAGTGACTTTGATCCTCAACAGCTGCTGATATTAACTGCCGAGTCTCAGTGATGTCATGGGTTTGATTTCGGAGGCGAGCTTGAGTGACTGGCATAACCTGGTGCCTCAGCTTAGCGTTGGTCACATTTTTTGGCAGTGAAATCTTGATAGCCTTTTCGCTGTCCAACATTTCTGCGATCCTTTGAAGAACCCCTTGCTGCTCTGCAAGGGTGTAGCCAAGAGGGGGATGCTTTGGGGATGGAGGGGCCTGGCTTTTCCAAGAGGTTCGTGCTCTCTGGAGGGAGTCACACACTCAGATTGTCGGCTATTGCTGACAACAACTGAAGCAAAATTTCTGGAGGGTGTGCTTTGGGTAATCACTGTAGTTTAAAATTTTTCTTATTATTTTGCAGATTTCTGTTGTCTTTAATTTCCCCTGCAACTAATAATAGTGCATCATGGCAAGGCACGTGGCATTTTTGCTTTTTCGTTTGTGGCTCTCTGAGTTAATGCTCCCTCCGCCTCCCCTCCTATCATTTGTCCCCTGATGGAGGTAGGGAAGATGTCTCTAAAAGACTAGGAGTGCCCTGGAGCTGTTTTGTGAAAACTGCAGCACAGCCAGTCTTTAAAAAAAGGCCAAACCCACCATCTGGGCTCCATGCACCCAACTGGGGTCTGCCTGCTCCGAAACAGGGTCATGCTGCGCTGAACAAGGGGATCCCTGCCACCCCGGGTAAGGTCGTGCTCGGGCTGCTGACATTTTAATCAGCATTTCATAACTAATTGCCTGACCACAGCTATCTTGTTATCAATTAACGTAGTCCTGAATGTCAGGAAGTAACTGTATCTCTCTAACTCGCTAAGGCTGCCTTCTGGGTCTGTGAAATGGCTGGATTTCCTCACAGGGATGGATTACATGTTTACATCTCCCCTTCTGCAGGAGTGTGTGGTGAGGATGATCCAAGGAAGCACAATAATGTCTTTATGTTCCCTCTCTGTCCCTCCCCGTCTTTTGTATGCTATAGAGCAGAAAAAAAAATCTCTCGTATGTGAGCTCTTGGAGCAGGCTGGAAGACACCCACATTGCAGACACCGGACTGCCTGAATCCGAGGAGTTAGAGAAAAAATAAAATGAAGCAATAGCATTTGAGAGCCTTCTGAGGACGGACACTTTTCCAGATGTCAGGAAATGCCCTTAAATGGATGGGATCCTTTCAGTGATCCTATCAGTCCAGGGAGGGTTGCTGTCTCCGAAGCTGGAGGATGTCTCTGCCATCAGTACTCTGACCCGCTCTGATACTGTCCAGCTCTTAAGATCTGATATTCTGGGACATGGGACTTTCCAGATTAGGATAAATATAACCCACTTACAAAACTAAGCATCCCCTCTTCTGAGCCCAAAGAGGTTACAGCGTGGAGGGTGGCTTTTCATCTCTTTGTGTGAGTGAGGGAAAAGGGGTCATTGCAGTTCTTTTTTGATAGTAACTGGTTGAATGGGCTACGGGGAAGGGCAAGTGAGCAGAGGGCTCTGTGGCGTGGCCCGGCCGCTCATCACAGGTGTGCCCCCTCTATATGTGCAATAGGGGGGACTCATCCTGTCTGCAGACCATGGATGCTCACTTGGGCTACAGGAAAGGCAGAGCTTCTTTAAGGGAGGTTTCTATCTGCATAAAAGCCAGAGCAGCTGAGAAGGGACAGTGCAGATGGTGCTAATTTCCAGAGGCCATATGTTTGGAGGGACCCCGGGTACCCCCACAAGAATTCTTTGTTTTCTCAATGTTCATTTTCAAAGGTGCTCTGGAGGTCTTCTCCTTGCAGGAGGCCGCTGCTTCCTCCCACTCGTCCACTCCTGACACGTTTGCTCCGTCCCCTCCTCCGTCCCCCGCTGCTCAACAAGCCCCACAGCTGGATAAACAGCGATCTCAGTCGCTTACAGCCCTCCAGTGCCTTTCAGTGAGATGCCGGCATGGAGAGATGTTTACTGAGCTGCCTGTCGTGGGCGGACAGTCGTGCTGCAGCCCGCATGCCAGCACCGACGCCGCTCTGGTCCCAGCAAGATCGGGTTCAAAACACACAGGTTCTGAAGGTGCCAACTACAAATGTGGGCTCCCTGTTCTGCACGAGGCTGAGGAATTTGGTTGTCTGGGAGCTCTGGGTCTGTCTGCTGGCTGGGCTTAGCTATGAAACGGGCTTAGAAATGTTCACGATTGCTTTGATCCCTGCTGTGTTGACTCGCTGTCCCTTCTCTGCTGGCTGTTCATGGAAAGGGGGATCTAGCTCATCTTCTAAGCAGCACCGCCTCCGTCTCACCCCAGACGAGCTCTCTTGGCTTACAGGGTGGCCAGCATCCGTGACCAGTCCAGGGCAGCTCTGCCAGACCCCTGGCCAGGGGCAAGCCTGGTGCAGTGCACGCAGCGCCGCCGCTGCTGCCCGGGAGAGGCTGGCTCAGCCCAGCCACCGGTGGTCGGAGTTGTTGAGAGCAGAGGCGCGAGGATCCCCTCCCTCCTTTGCCCGCGCTTTCTTCTAATGTGCGTTAAATTACTTCGTGTTATATTAAAGACTGAGCCTCTTTAGAAGCTCTCCTCAGCCTTCTCGTTAATCACCGTGACAGAACATGACAAATCCACTTTGCTGAGGCATTATTTCACTTTGTAAAATCCCCGGTGCTTTGCAACAGCTTATCCAGCAGCACCTCCTCCCTCCCTGCTGTCCTCGGGACATCTTCCCTCCTCCTCCAGCCCATGCAAGAAGATGTTGCTTTTAGGAGTGACTATATCCGAGGGTTTTGTTTCTCCTGGGTCAGGCGGATGGTCCTGGTATTTGAAGCCCAGTCCCTGGATGGTCTCTGCTGATTGACTTATTGCAGCCAAGACTGTGTCCCTGCGGTGTGTTTACACAAGACCGTGCAGCCCCCCCTTCCCATAACCATTAATTTTATAGAGGGCATATAACGAAGATGGGCCTCCAGTATGCCTCCTGCCTTTGATCTGTGGGGGGTGCGTGGCCTGATGGGCCCAGAGCTGCCAGCATCGCTGATTTACTCTGCTCTGCGGACATAGCTTCTGGAGCAAACAAAAGCTTGTGTTTTCTCTCAGCAGTATTGCAATACCATTACAGGCTGTGCTGCTGTCTGGTTGCGTTTGGTCTGGAAGGGCCGGGATGGCTCAGGATTTGCTTGCCTTTACATTTTTTCTTTCAATGGTAGCTAAACGGTTTGGTTCATGCAACCCACGAGCGCCCCAAACCTGTGCAGACGGGTAGGCGGGTTATTAAGGGTCTACAGTGTTGCTAATGGAAATAAAGTCCGTGTATTGGCAAGCTATAAGCATTGACCTTGTGACAGGGTGCTCACGCTGAAACAAAATCTCTCCAAAACAGTTCCCTGACAGAACTTTATTGTCATCCAAGCCAGACTCAGAAAACATTTTTTTTTTTTTTTTTCCCCTCCTAGTCTGGCATAAATTAGGATTCATTTCTGACCTTGCCCTCGAAAATGAACTCTCTGATCAGAAACCCTTTTGTTATTTAGACTTGTCATACCAGGTAGGATAGCAACCTCAGCGCCAACGCTGGTGGTGGGCGGTTGCCAGACCAACCAAATCTGGGTCGTCCCTGAGTTCCTGTCCTGAATTTGTGTGGAGTTGTTGAGCCTTCTGGCTGGGAATGTTGACCTTATCTCTGTCGGTCACCATGAAGGTGCTAAACTTTATTATTTTTTTTGTTTTAACCAAAAGGTACCCTTTAGAGGTAACCTCTTTTGATCCACCATGATGAAAGCTGAGCAAAAGTCTAAGAGTGGCATTTAACAGTGCAATTTTAGGTCACCAAAGCTTGATAGCCAAACCATTTGCTGTAGTCCCCGGTATGAAGGAGTCACGCTAAGTGAGAAGTTTCCAATGCGGAAAATGTTCATCCAAAGTCTACAGTTTCTTTTATGGACTTTCAGCCAGGGGCATTTTCCGGATGACGACGTATTCTGCAGGTGCTCACCGTGACATCCGCCTCCCGTGCAAAGAAGAGGTTGCTGCCTGTTATCTGTCAGCTCGCCTGCTATACTGCTTAGTCTTACTTCTTGGCACTTTACGTAAAGACAAAAAAAAAAAAGAAGAAAACAGAGTGTCTATAAAGTATGGAAAATGTAGAAACCCCTGACAGTTGTATGGTGTGTCTCGCTTCCCCCACAGAGAGGAAACCACAAAATAGTGAGTCCAGGGGTTTCTTTCCATACACACAGTATCTGTCAGGATTTTGAGGAATTTTCTGGGAACTGATGAAAGAAATGTGCTGTTTAAGGCCTGATATATACTGTACAACGGATCTGTGCAAGGAAGATGCAGTGCTGCAGCACAGTGGCAACTTCCAAAAGGCTTTCCAAAATAAAAGAACTTCTTCCAAGAGGGCAGATTGGCTCCTATGGGAACAGAGGCAGAAGCAAAGGGTAGAATTGGCTTGTACTGGGGAGAAGAGGTACCTGATGTGTTTAATAGCTGTAGTTCCCTCATTATCCTTTTCACACCTTTGCAAGATCACCAATGCTGGTGGAAAATGCGTAGGCAGATCCAGATTTAACTTTCTCAACCCCGAGGAGCCTGCAGGATGTGAGGGGGAGTCACACAAGTAACGAGACCCCCCTGCTCTGCGGTGTCACACTCAGGGAGGGGACCCCTGTGTGCCAAAGGACCAAAAATTAGCGTAACGGTGTTGAGAGCCTGACTGACGCGGCCTTCCCAACGCAGGGCTTTCTGAAGCTGCCCTATGCTTGTGGTGACTGTAAGTGGTGCTGCTAATTGTGGGGATATCTTAATTAAAAAGCAGGGAGATGGTGAAAGTGCATCAGCAAATGAGAGCAGCATCAGGATCAACCCCCAAAGATGGTACAGCGTGTTTATCTAGTCCTTCTTGTTAGGGCTTATTGCATTAAAAAATTAATTATTTTTTATTTTTTATTTTTCTTCTCTCTTTCAGGTCCACCTGTAAGTACCAAGCCTCTGTGGTTTTAAAAGCTGTTGACACAGAGTTCACGGGGCATGAAGTAGCAAAGTCTCCCGTCTGTAGTGTCTGGTGCGGTAGCCGCCTTTGCAGTCCTGGCATCTCCCAAACAGCAAGTACTGCGGGTGCTCAGGACCCATATTGGGGTGGGATTGCTCTCGGCTGCATCGCAGCTTCCGAGAGTGAGACAGAGGGAGCGGAGGGATGGGGACATGGCAAACGTGAAGGGCACAGATATCTGGCTGTTACCAGTTGGCCCCACATACCCCGGAGGCATGGGCTGTACGCGCTTCGTGTGCATTGGATGCCACACGCTGAACGAGACGTGCTTGTGAAAAAGGGAAAGATAGATCGCAAACACATGGCGGGAGCTGAGCTGCAGGGACTTGTTGCCTGCTACTCATCCGGGCTTGCTGAACTGTTGGGCCTTCAAGTATAGCTGCAGAACTATCAATTTCAGAGGAAAAATTGCGTTGACAGCTTCCTTTTCAAATGTTAGCTAATGCAAAACCTCAGCGCAGACGATTTAGGCTTCAGGAAAATAGCTAGGTTATTGCAGAAGTTTTCTTACAGCTATTAAGAGACCCACAGTGAACCAGAAGCAGCAATGCAAGGAATGAGGCCATGTATCAACATCTCTCAGGATTATAAAGAAACGCTATATTGTCTCTAGCACGGTCCTTCCAGAGGAAATGGTTTATATTCGTGTACAATAGAGTAACTGTACTGGGTTTCTGTGAAGGAACGTGAGAAGTTAAACATACGGTAGTCATCTTTTGTCTGTTCACGCAAAAATGTCTTAAACGGTTTGCAGATGACGTTCTGAGGAGAAGTAGTTGCTGCATAACCTATCTTCCCCTTTCATCCAGTCGAAATGCTACAGGCTGAACTCCCGCAGATATACGAGCAGAGCCCGATTTAATGACAACAGTCTTCCAAAAAGTTGCACCTTCCAGGCCAAAAGGTCTGAAAGTGTTTTACAGCTGGAAGCCCTGATCCACGCAAAGCTTCAACGATTGCTTATCCCAAGGACTTTCAGGACTGGCGGCTGAAGTGGATGTATTTCAGTGCTAGATTTGGGTTACGGGGAGGAAAGCACTGCTCCAGAGGGGGCGGCTATTGGGGTGGGATTGCTCTCGGCTGCATCGCAGCTTCCGAGAGTGAGACAGAGGGAGCGGAGGGATGGGGACATGGCAAACGTGAAGGGCACAGATATCTGGCTGTTACCAGTTGGCCCCACATACCCCGGAGGCATGGGCTGTACGCGCTTCGTGTGCATTGGATGCCACACGCTGAACGAGACGTGCTTGTGAAAAAGGGAAAGATAGATCGCAAACACATGGCGGGAGCTGAGCTGCAGGGACTTGTTGCCTGCTACTCATCCGGGCTTGCTGAACTGTTGGGCCTTCAAGTATAGCTGCAGAACTATCAATTTCAGAGGAAAAATTGCGTTGACAGCTTCCTTTTCAAATGTTAGCTAATGCAAAACCTCAGCGCAGACGATTTAGGCTTCAGGAAAATAGCTAGGTTATTGCAGAAGTTTTCTTACAGCTATTAAGAGACCCACAGTGAACCAGAAGCAGCAATGCAAGGAATGAGGCCATGTATCAACATCTCTCAGGATTATAAAGAAACGCTATATTGTCTCTAGCACGGTCCTTCCAGAGGAAATGGTTTATATTCGTGTACAATAGAGTAACTGTACTGGGTTTCTGTGAAGGAACGTGAGAAGTTAAACATACGGTAGTCATCTTTTGTCTGTTCACGCAAAAATGTCTTAAACGGTTTGCAGATGACGTTCTGAGGAGAAGTAGTTGCTGCATAACCTATCTTCCCCTTTCATCCAGTCGAAATGCTACAGGCTGAACTCCCGCAGATATACGAGCAGAGCCCGATTTAATGACAACAGTCTTCCAAAAAGTTGCACCTTCCAGGCCAAAAGGTCTGAAAGTGTTTTACAGCTGGAAGCCCTGATCCACGCAAAGCTTCAACGATTGCTTATCCCAAGGACTTTCAGGACTGGCGGCTGAAGTGGATGTATTTCAGTGCTAGATTTGGGTTACGGGGAGGAAAGCACTGCTCCAGAGGGGGCGGCAAGCAGATTCCATCCAGGGCTGTCCCTGCCACTCCACCCTGGGCAGGCGTATGTCGGTGCTAAAGGGATGGGGCAGGCACAGAATTGCTGGTGGTGTTGGCATTTCTATTAACCTCTGCGAGAAATTGGAGTGAGATCAATAGGTCAACGCAGATGTCTCCCGGAGAGCAGTCTGTGCCTTTGCAGGGTGAGGAAGACACATGCTCCAGGCTTCCTCTGCAGCAATAAGGGTTAGAAACTTAATATCGTAATGAAAGATTGAAGCCTGGCAGAAACACATGGGACCACCAGAGAAGTGCTGACAATATATGCTACCGTATCCCAGCTTATTGTGACCCCTGAATCTGTCTCCACACACAGACTTTCAGGAGAGGCTGTGAGGAATGCTACGGCCAATGGAAATAACAAGAGGAAGTCGGGCAGACCGAGTGTTCTTAGCCAAAGCGGAATTTGTCTTGGGCTAACAGCACCCTTGTCTCATTCAGGACCTCTGGGCTTTCTGATCAGCGAGACCGGCTCTGTCACCGTGAGCAAAAGTTCACCACTGAAGAGTCAAGCACAGTCCTCCATGTCACCATAGGAAATGTTTCCCCCCCCCCCATATTTCTCGTGTGGAAGCCGTGCGGAAACTCAAGTTTATGAGCAACAGCCCTGGGCTCCTGCCTGGCTGGTTGTCATACCCATCGTTCTGGGTAGCAAGCCCAAAGCGCTGATGACCCCACATCTCTCTCCAGTTTTTTTTTTTCCCCAGCTTGCAAAACACGATATGTCGGGTGACCCTGCTGCCGGTGTCGGCTTGAGTGTGGGGATGGGCAGAAATACTCGCTAGAAACTCACTGAGCCCAGCTTTGTAGTCTAGGACAAACAGGGGAAAAGCCAGGGAAATGGATGAGCAACATCCCAGCAGCAAAAGGGGCCTTCACACTCTCCTCTTGCCCAACGGATGCTCCCACCGTTATTCTTGAAGTCAACTGAGCCTATGGTGAAGGCAAGGGGAACCTGCAGTCATGTAAGAAATTTGGTGAGATTGGGACTAAAAGGGGCAAAGGAAGGAAGGAAATGATGAAATCGTGCAATAGTCCTGAGGTTCCCGGACTCTTTCGCCGTCTGGACCACATCCGAAGGAAAAGATCCTCTCACGGACGTTTTCTCTCCCATTTCTGAACATGCAACATTTCTGTGGCAACTGCAGCAATTCCATACATGAAAAAATAATATTTAGCAGATGGAAACTAAGGAAGAAAGTCAGAGCCCTGCAATTAGCTCGTTCTCCATGGACTTGCAGATACCTTCAGAGCCTGTGCGGAGAGCTGTGGGTAGAGCCATGCTGAAAGGAGAGAAAACTTCACAAACAGAAGAGTAGGAAACTGAAGCAATCATAGCTGATGGTCAAGGAGCTGTGGAGAGATTTTTAACCATTCTGTTTCCTAAACCCTTACATGTGATTCCATCTCTTTATCAAGCCCTCCCTTCAGAGCTTGAAGCTAATTTTCGTCTTTTCTATGTATTTTGTTTCAGGGCCCTACAGGAAGACCAGGGCTCCAGGTAAATAATTCATTCTTTCTTTTTCATTCCCTCGTGCTCTCTGTCTGGCACTACTGGCATCAGTAGGCCTCCAGGGTTTGTAAGCTGGGGGAAGGTAGCAATCTCGCATAGCAAACCTGATGTGGAAGAACAGCATATTGCAAACAGGACACGGCTCGTACAGAGTAGGGACCACGGGAGCTTTGTAGGACCAAGCTTAAGGGTAACATAATCTTTGTGAATCCTCTTGCATGTGGGAAACACACTACTTTTGAAGATGCCTTTGTCAGCTTGAGGGTCTGGTTGAAGAGGTGCGGCATGCAGTATTCTTGCTGATGGGGCTTGCTAATTGCAGCAGGTTTCAAAAAGCCTAAGTCACTCTGGGACAAATGCAAAAGTCCGTAATAGCAGTATCTACGTCTGAGATAGTCACGAGTGAGGAAGGAGCGTGGGTTTTGGGGTTACAGCTGCATGCTTTCCTGGTGATGGGTCCCTGCTCCCCGAGCTGCTGCTCACCCGGAGACTGCAACAGCCGCAACAGGCAGTTTCCTAATGAGTGAAATGCAAACTGTGCTGCCGGCTTTCCCCCTGACCCAGGACAGAGGCTGCTTGTTGCCTTTCGTGCTCCTCTAGCTCTCACGTGAGAGCTGCAGGCAGCTTCGCATGACTTTGTAACCAACCTACATGGTATCATCCACCCGCAAGTGCTCTTTCCTGGCTCCCTGTCACAGACAACCTTTCCTTATAAACATCTGGCATTTATTTGCTGTCCTACCGGGAGCTCCCCCTTCGCTATTATTGCTTGGAGGGCTGTAACGCTGCGCAGCCACATACCAGACACAGTGCCGTCATGTACCGCTCCGACACCAGGTACTCGCTGGAGACCAGACACGGTTCAGCCCCGACCTTGGGCTTTTCCTGCTCGGGCACAGCCACAGCAGAGTGAAGAGAAATAAAACGAACTTTTACCTCAAGCCATGAGGGAGATCGGCCTGAGCGCAGCTCCGGAGGAAAGCAGCATTTAAGGGACTAAAAGAACAGGAAAACTCAGCATTATATTCTCCAGCAGCCACAAAGTAATCCCAGGGCAAGATGCTGACACCGGGACTTTTGCTCGCTGCCGGCACACAGAGATAAGGAAATATTAGAGGGACAGAGAATCCACCTAAAACCCTAAAGGAAAGCAGTTTCCCATAATCTATCAACTACAAAATTTAAAATCAAGCAGCTGTTTAGTGTTTCATCCATCTGCAAGGGATGCAAAGCATATATTGCGTTTCAATTTATCTAAATCTGCACTGCATTGAAAGGAATGCCCCCAATACCAAACAGCCCCACAGCTCTGCAGGGGGAAGTGGCTAAATTTTCACCAGGTAGTGGTTTGATCCCAGTCTGAGTATGGGATGCGTGGCCAAAGGAGCCTCTGTGTATACCTCGCAAAACAAAGTGAAGTGCATTGCCCTTCCAGAGATTTGGGACTACATCAATGCACTTTGGGACTGAACACGGCGGAAGGCACAAAGAGGTGGCACCGATGGGGCCGGTGTCTCCAGCTGCAAAAACCAGAAAGCCAGGTTCGTGTCTGCAGCCACAGGCAGGGACACTCTGTCTTACGTATGGAAATCCCAAACGTTGCTGGAAACAGAAACGAGAGATGATTATCATGTAATTTTTGCAAAATATAGAGCAAAAGCTACATGACCGCTGAAGCCATAATCATCAAGATCCTTTCAGTAATCAGCTGCTTTCTTCCAAATCTGCACAGCCTTCAGTTTCAGTGACCAGGAATGCAGAGGTGGTTGATTTTCTTTTTTTTTTTTTTTTCTTTTTTAATTGCATAGTTAAATTTAACTGTAAGAGGCAGAAAACTGCCTTGTAGGTAAGTGGCTGAAGCAAATTGCCACTGGTCTTGTGCTCATGTGTTTATGAGGCTCTGTTCAGTGTCGCCTGACCCAAAGCCATTCCCCAAACCGCTGTTAGGATCGCTCACGCTCTGACAATGCGCTGGGAAGTATCTCGGAGGGGTAGAGGACACTGAACGCAGCTGCTCATATGTCTTCTTCCAGACGTGCTTTTTCCTGTGTCAGCTTGTTTTCCCACATTTTTCTCTTGCTTCTGGACAGGACTGTATTTTCAAGCCTAAGAGAATCCTGTTTTAAAGTGATAACTCTATAAATAAATAGCTAACACCCAGATGACTTTAGTAAAGAAAGAGAAAAATGTGACAGTTGGCTACTGCAGGAAGCCAGTTCCCAGGACCCGGATTTTATGAAGTGTTGGAAATTGGGATTCTACTTCGTTAAGCTGAAAACTCTCACCCTTCTGCTGCTGCCTAGACCGCCATATGTCATTTCTGTTGTGAGATGTGCTGGCTTGCCATATGCCCAAGCAAACTGGTGGCTTATCCATGTTCTTAAAGACAGGTTTGGGCACATGCAAATACACTTTCCTCTCTCTCTAACTTGCTCTCTCCCTCTCTCAAAATCCCTGGACACGAGCACCACAGCACGAAGCTGCGTCTGTGGCGCAGCTCATTTGTGCTGTTTTATAGCCTTGCTTTTGGCCAGTTTCCAATTGCCTCTGATTTTGCCTTAATTGCCAGGGAGACAAAGGTGCGATGGGAATCCCTGGGCGGCCGGTAAGTCAAAACCTCTTGCATGTGCCTTATCCTCCCCACCCTCTTCCAACCCTCAGGATTTGGTGGGGGGCTTTCAGGATGACTCTTGGTGGGTGTCAGTCTGAGAAAAGCCACCCTCCCTGAGCCCCACACCTGAGGGGATCTCCTGGTCACAGCAGGGTGGCCAGCCTTGCAAACCACATATGTGCCAGGGGGGTCTTCCCATCCTCTCTGCCGTGTTGCTCAGACCCTCCTCTGGTTTGGCATCACCCCTGGTTGGGTGCCTCCTGCTGCCACCTCATACACTGGCTGGGCTTCCTAACCGTGGGCTTGCTAACACGCACCCCTGCCTGCCACCGGCAGCTGCCCTTTCCAAATAACCCCGACCTGAACAAGGCAGGGGCATCCCCTGCCTGGCTGAGCGCTGTATTTTGGAGCTGCTCTTCGCTCAGGCACCCCAAGGTGAGGATAGGGAAAAGGGCTGGGGCAGGAGCTGAGGCCACCCTGCTCATCCCAGCCCCATAGCCAGGGGTTTAGGGTGGGGGAGCGTGCCCTTGCCGCTGACGCCTGTGTTTGTGTCTCTTTCTCTCTCTTCCCCTGCACCCTCTTGCATGTGGCTGCGACGGGTGCCACTGACCCAGGGACTAAAAGGGCAACCTGGAGAGAAGGTGAGTCGGCTCCTTGCAGCCCACAGCGTCCCCGACTGCCCCCCTCTAGGGCCAGCCCAAGTCCCCTGGTGCTCACAGCCATGGCTGCTGCAGCCAGCTTTGGGCTTTCACCCCGCCAGGCTGCCCCCTCTCTTACCCGGCGGTGGGAGTTTATCTCCCAAATTCCTTCCAGGCCAGTCAGCCTCTGAAGATGCTGCGTTTCTTGTTTATGACAATTTACTAACAGCATAAGAGCCAGTAGGCACACGCAGGGCTCCCCTCGAGGCTTCCTGGGTTTTAACCATTGAGTTTCTTCCCGTTGGCAGCTCCGCTTGCCCTAATTTGCCTGTAGCTCCCCTCTGCCTCCCAGGTTAGCCTGCTCCCTGGTGCAAGCCGTAGCAAGGAAGAAAATGGTGCGGCATGCTCCTATTTCTGATGTGGTGGGACCTCTTCCTCCTAAGGAAAACTGATGGTATCATTGAAGTCTGTGGGAGCCCATCTCCCAAACTGTTTTGTCCTTGCAAAGAAGCGGTGGTTTGCAAAGCATCCTACTGCTGGCCCCCATGTTTTGAAGCGTTTGACGCTTCAGCATTAGTGTATTTCCCCCAGAGCTGTGAGTACCTCCTACCCACAAGAACAGTGGGGTAGAGGGGGGTGTGAATAACTGAGTAACAACGTGTAGAAACTAGGAAGGGATGGATATTCACCTGATAGGGGGATCATCGTGCAGGGCACCAGGCCCATTTGCTCCTATTCATAGGAGACAGAAAGATAAACACCGAGGAAGGGCAAGGTAGGATAGATTCTCCTTCCTTGCTTTCAAGCTTCTGCTTGCTCGTTGGAGCCAACCAACATTATCTAACAGACCAAGATTTCACCGCCTGAAGCCACCCTGCTTTTTCTCTGCGTGTCTTTGCATTTCTCTCTGGCCAAAGCTTTCAACATGAAGGGTCAGCAGATAAATACAAACAAGGGGAAAATCACTCTTAATTGCCCATGCTTCCCCAAAGCCCTCCGTGAGAATCCTAGGTCCTTGGCAGGCCGCAGCTTTGTTTTGCAGTGAGCTCTGTTTGCTCGCAGGCTGCTTGGTTTATAAGATGCTCCATCCCAAGGCTCCCCAGCCCTGGGCGCTTCTGAAGCTGCCTCTCAGGAATATGCCATGTTTTCCAAAGGCAGGGACAGGTCCTGCCCATTGCACATCGTGGGTGGCTAGGAGCTGGAGAGGCAGCTGTTTTCTTTTCCAGCAAGGACTTTGCTGTTTCCATCCACGTCCCAACTGAGTTTGAGAAGCACACAAGCGAGGCATTTCTGGAGGCAGCCAGTGAGCTGCCCGCAGCTCCCATTTCCCTGGAGCCCAGCACACCCCTTCTTCTTTTCTTTCTTGTGCAGGACACGGTCCTCTTGGACTTGCAGGAAGGAAACAGCAAGGGTTTGGGGCCATCTTTCACACTTGTAATGGGGCAGAACCTCTGTTTTGCCAGAAAGTTTTATGTGTTTATAGTTTTCCTTGCTGTGCAGCTTCCATTTTCTGGCACGTCGGAGTAGCTCCAAACAACATCTCTTCTCCCAAAGTGCGGGGCAAGAGCTGGGGGAGGCCAGAACGGCAGCTGCCCCATAAGCCCTGAAGGTCTCACACCTTGAGCACCCTCATTTAACCCCGGTCTTAATGGGAATATAATTGTCTTTGTATTTTCCTCTCCTCCTTTTTTCACCCCTTTTCCTCTCCCTTGTCTCTCTGCAGGGTGCTCCAGGAGAAGCAGGCATGTCTATCATCGGGCCCCGCGGTCCACCCGTAAGTGGCTTTTCTCTCTATTTTTGACTGATGCAGGATGTGGGCAAGTTACAGGGAAAGACTTAGGAGGGGCAGTAAGACACAGCATCAGCTGGAGAGAGCAAAAACCCTGTATAATGTGGTTCCCATGCTGAGCCAGGCTTGGTTTTATACTGCTATTATATACTATATATAATGAAATTACAGCTCATACTCCAGAACAAATGAGGAAGCCTTCCCTTGCAAGGAAACCATATTCCTGTATTTAAAAGGAAGAAGCATATTTCCTTCTTGCAACAGGGCTGCTACTGCTTTTGGAGAAAATACGCCCTTTGCCTGGCTGATCTCAGCCTTTGGTTTTATTAGCAGAGGACAAACCCCCCGATTTTGCAGAAGAGCAGGATCAGAGCTAAGCTGGTGACTGGGGAGCTCACAAAGATGGGTAGTTCAGAGTTGTTCAGGGGTCCTTGCCAAGTACCCTAAGTCTTGGAAACTCTCTGACAGCACAGTTACCGCTATCTCAAAAGTCCCTTTGCTGGCTGGGGAGCCGAGGAAAGTGTAGGCAGGATTTTGCACCCTCTTCCAGCAAAAGTGTCCCTGCAAGGTGCGACGAGTCAGCCAGACAAAGCTTTTTACAAGGATAGGGTCATAAAAAAGGACCAACATGAAGGGCTG